CTCCAGAAAGTGTTTGTCGCGACGGTGGGCGACTGCGACATATGACCCACGTCCGAATGGCGTGCGACTTGATAGAATGAACACCTACTCCTAGTGGACAGTTATCTTCACACAGTTCCTCGCCGAGTTCCGGCTGATCGAAGGCTCCAGGTTAGAACCACCGAAGAAAATCATCTGTCTCGACTTGGGTAACGTAGTAGCATCGAGCCCATGAACTCTTTTCTACGTACATTTGTGATATGCAGATGATGCTGTGCTGCGCCAACCCACGTGCGTGTATGTCTGTACGTCAGTGTGTGTATCGAGTATTGATGTTGCCCGTTCAAGGGGAGCGATGTGTACAAGTGTTATCGAACAAATGCGTTAGACCACACAACAGGGACCAACCCTAAATCCTAGTAACTGTGTTGAATGTTTATGCAGTTTTGCACGCTCTTCATATCCGACACCCCAGTGAAAAATAATAATCCTTTCTCTACGGTGGGCTCCGTCAAATATTTTGGTGTAACGATAAATAGCAATCTTCATTGTTCAACTCATATACAAAACTGCATTAGTGAACTACGGAGCCAATCATTTCAAATTCGAAAGCTTGGGCAGTTTCGCGCATCCCCGTCAGTTATTTCTACCTTTGTGTATCAGTGTGTTTTCCCAATCTTACTTTATTGTTTCCCAGTTATTTTTCCTCGCTTATTTAAACAGGATCTTAAAGTCTTACGCCGCGGTCTAACTACTATTATCTGCGTTTTTTGTAGTCCTGTGAATAAGTAAGCTGTGAAGTTGTCAGAGAATCCTACAAATTCCTGCATGTATCAGATTTGCGGAGAGGATTCTCACAGATCTTGAACAGCCATTGCACGCGGAACTGACGAGTTGTCGTTCTCCACACGCTCATAATTCCGCCAAACTTCATCTCGAATAAACGCTTACCGAAATCCACCTATATTCTATCTTGCACGTTTACTCACAAACAAGGAGAGGATAACAAGTGAACTGTGTCTTAGCC